TTATGGAGGCCCATTCGCGCCGTTATGCTTTGACCACTTTGTAAAGGAAGAAAACAAAAAAAAAAAAAAAAAAAAAAAAAAAAAAGAGCGACGTAAGCACATGTTTTCGCCCAATTTTCTCTTTTTTTATAACACGAGTTGGAGGAAGTTGTCTATTTGAAATCTTGCATCGTCCCTCCTTGACTTCCTCTCGTTCTGTCCCTCACCATCTTTTGTTTTTCTGTTGGATTGATGGTGGAGGTGGTTGTTCCTTAACTTAACCACTCATTCCTGCTACCTCATCCCTGTTGTTTTTGCTTAATTGTTTTTCTTATGTATAATTGTGTGGGCAAGAAAAGAGCATGCAGGTGATTAGTATCGCTTGCCTTTCTCTGTTTTCTATCTTTTCGAAGCACCCGTGTGCACGGATGCAAGTTTACGAAATGAGAGATACAGGGAGCGGAGAGGAAGGGGAGAGAGGGACGACTGTCATCAGAACACGACTCATTGTACACAGCTCAACTGTCGAGAATTCTTACACCCTTTTAAAAAGAGGTGCAATCCGAATTGGACTTTTCCACCCTTCTGTTCCATTTTCCTTTTCTCTGTTGTCGTAATCGGCATTATTCATATTCACTATACCGCCTCACGACACTCAACTGTCCTCTTCCTCTTTATCCCTCCATCCGTCCCCCCATTCCCTCCACGCACGTTATCCCTTGTCTCCCTTTCTCCTTCACTCTTTTCTTTCTCTTACCGCCCTTCCCCCTTTCCCTCTACCCCCCTCTAGCTGCTCCCCTCTACTCCCCTCTAGCTGCTCCCCTCTACTCCCCTTCACCTTCCCTCTGTCCTCCTTTAACCTCCCCTTCTACCATTCATCTCTCACCAATTCTTATTCTCTTCTACCTTTAGATGCACAATCAGGTCCTTGGCACCTCTCCCTGTAGTCACCTCCTCTTTGAGTGCAGAATTACACGGACGGCAAGGCATAAGATACTTCGAAGAATAAACTATATTTTGCTAATTTTATTTGCCCTGTATGACATATTTGACAAAGAAACAAACGAGCAAACAAGGACTGTATAGGATCCTGAGCTTGGTGGAACAGTTGATTTGGCCTTGTTTCCTTGTGTTTGAATATAAAGAGAGAATGAAGAAAGAGACGAGATCTGAAAAGAAGACAAAGCGAATGACGGTTCATGTGCAGAAGAGGCCTGGAAGATGAGGCTAATTTGTGTCTCGACTCTGGCCAGGTTCAAGTATGAACGGGTGTAAAAATGAGTGTAAAAAAGTATGTAAAAGTCAGGTCAAGATGGCTAGCATCCTCAAGACAAAAACAATTTCACCAGTAAAATGGACACTCAAGGCGTCAAACACCTTTTGTTGCTTTCTGTCAAATCAAAGAAGCAAAAAAAAATGGACAGTTCGCAGATAAGAGTCGCCTAGTCAAATGACGCTTAAGGCATCCAGCAGCGCTGGTCAAGCCAGGATTAGACCAATTGTCGGCAAATAGAAACCTCCTCTATTCTGCTGTAATCCTTACTCAGTTGTAAAGGAGGCAGAATCGGGCTTTGTTTACAATGGGGTAAGAAAAGGCGATTCTGTATGTTCCTACATGTATGTAAAAAATGGATTTGGGGCTAATTGATACACCATTGTAAACATTCCAAAAAAACCAGAGCCTTACTGGGTTGTACGACCTTCATTTTATGAAATGCTTACCTATGTGTGTTTATTCACTCGTCGAGTGCGCCTTACACTAATGTAAAAGACCCCTTTCATCGAATCTTTACTCATTGTACACGTTCATTCATACACCCTTGTAAACATTTAATTTACAAGGGTTGTAAGCATTTCCGCGTTGTCAAGAAAGATAGCCATAGTATTCGGAAAGGTAATAAAAAAAGCAGCCCCAAGATATCTTTTATTGCTGTTGAGAAATCGAAGGAAATATCCAGATGGGTCATTGGAACCATTTTTTCACTAGCTTTCTGCAATAGCATCCTTTACCGTAATCTCACACTAGAACATCCTAGATCGGTATTAGTCATCTCATAGTATTCTTTATGATTAGTAATCAATGAATATATAAAGAAAGTGCCTTTTGATTTTACCATTCCCTGACCAGACACCATTTTTTTTCAGCAGCAACTCAGGATGAAAAGTATTGACAACGGGACCAAGGACAGGGTCCTTTCGCTTCTTCAGGCTGGAGGATCTATGAACAACGTATCTCAAGCAACTGGTGTAGGCAAAGCAACGGTTTCAAGGCTGAAAAAGTCTTTCCTTTCAACTCTTCCTAACCAAACCTCTGGACGCCCTCGTATTCTTTCGGCCACTGTACTGCGGAAGATCAACCGTAGTGTACTGACAGGTCTGTGTACAAGCAACTACGATAAGAAGGAGTGCAAATCTCATACCGAACAACCCTAAATAACCTTCGACATATCGGGATCCAGCGAAGGAGAAAAGCCAAAAAACCCTTTCTTTCCAAGAAGCATAGGAAGGAACGTACGAAATGGGCAAGGACGCATCAACACTGGACAGTTGATGACTGGAGGCGTGTTATCTTCTCAGACGAGACGAAGATTAACCTCTGGAACTCGGATGGGATCAAATACTGCTCGAGAAAACAGGATACCTCGCTGCAGCCATTTCATATTGAAAAAACAGTCAAGCATGGAGGTGGTAGTCTGATGTTTTGGGGATGTATGACAAGCAAGGGGCTAGGATATGGATGCCAGATCTACGATGGAACAATGAAGGCGGTGGATTACATTCATATTCTTGATACAACCCTCAAGGACAGCCTGGAGTACTATGGATACTGTCGCGTCGTTCCCTATGATAAGTCGACTCTTGGCATGATCGGTCGACCCTTGGCACGATCGGTCGACCCTTGGCACGATCAGTTGATCCTTGGGCGCAGTTGAATGAGCCTAAGACAATTAATTAGCATTGCTCACAATCACATATATATATCCCATAGTACCCCAAATAGTTTGATCCTTACCTAGTAACTTGAATAATACTTTGTCTACACCTTGAAAACCCATATCTGACTCCCTATTCCCTTTGTTCTCTTCCTCCACCTCTCTTCCTGATCCTGCCTAAGAAAAGGTCGACTCTGCCTTGTTCTAGTCTAGATTCTCGACAGTTGTTGACCCAGGTCGAATCCGTCATCTCCCTCCATGCCTCCTGGAACTGGAGAAGTCGACCTCCTACTAATCCGACTTCTCTCTTTCGTTTCCCTGGTCTGGCTGCTTCCTGCCTTGTCCGCCACCAGACTTGTTTCGAGGCTTGCCACCAGACTTGCCTCCGTCCGACTTGTAACCCGACTTGCCGTTGTCGGATTTGTACCCTGACTTGTCTTTATGTTGCGGCTTGCCGAACTGTTGGTCCTTGCGTTTGTCGCCTGATCCTGAATTGTCCTTGCTGGATTTGTTGTCAGGTTTTTTGTTCTTGTCCTTTGGAGGCTCGAACTTCTTATATGTCTTCCGAACCAGATCAGCGGCTGCTTTTTTGGCAGCCAGTGATTCCAAAGTGAAAAGGGATTCCTCCTTGTCGTTGCCATACTTGATGCCGAGTTCGTCGAGGTAAAGGTTCTCTCGCATCCGACTGATCCTGGAAGCGTCGTGGGCTGTGGATATGCGTACCGTGTTGAGGAGACCGAGTATCTTCTTGCCGAGATCCGATTGATCGTCTCCATCTTCAAGGACTTCGAAAGCGAAAGTGTCGAAGAACCGGGTCGATTGAGCCAAAAATCCTTGGATCGATACCAAATCGCGTTCGTGTCGCTTAGCCGCGTCTGTGAGGGTAACCTCGGAGTGCTGCAGAACCGGGGGAGGTTTGTAATCCATACCCTCAGTGTAGTGGTAGTCGTTCCAGTTGAAAACGTTGTGGTCCTTGGGTAGTTCCGAGTCGAAGAACTTGGGTTCGCCAATGGCAGGGTAAACATTGAGAAGGTCCTTGCGAAGCTTGATAAGGGTTGCTCGAGGGTTCCTGTAGACCAGTCTGCCGTCCTGCTCAATGGATTCGGCTTCCAGTTGTTGGATCCTGTTTTGCTGCTGCTGTAAAATGACCTGCTGCTGCTGCATAAAGACCTGTTGTTGCTGCATTTCCTCCTGAATAAGGCGAAGGGTCGTGTGAACGTCGATATCGACATCGGGTGTCAGAGTTTCACTCTGATAAGGTTACACCAACCTATGACGCCACCAACATTTCTAGACTTTTCTTTCCCTTGATTACTAATCAAAGCTACGCCTCATAGAAACCTCTAGAAACCCGACACGACAACTATCTAGCATTCACTCACGTATAAATTCCCTAACCAACACCTAGATAGTTCAGCAGTTCATAACTCACCCTTTATTAAATGTTCGTCTAAAAACACTAGTCTCCCTCCCTCGTTCACCTCTTCATTCGTTCGCTCGCCTCTTTTCCCCTCACAAACACCCACACGTACCCTCGTCTTGTTGCATCGGGGGCCGTGAGGTTGGATGCATGGGACATGGGGGAGGATCGTTCAAAGATTCGGGGAGAGTGTTCCGGCCGTGAAAAAGAAAGATTGTCAGAGTTTCACTCTGATAAGGTTACACTAACCTATGACGCCACCAACATTTCTAGACTTTTCTTCCCTCTGATTACTAATCAAAGCACCGCCTCATAGAAACCTCTAGAAACCCAACACGACAACTATCTAGCATTCACTCACGTATAAATTCCCCAACCAACACCTAGATAGCCCCTTAGTTTTAAACTCACCTTTTTATTAAAAACAATTTCCAAAGCACAATCGTCCTTCGTCCCTCGTCCCTCGTCCCTCGTCCCTCATTCCTCGTTCCTCGTCCCCTCGTCTTGTTGCAAAGATAGAGATCAACAGATCACCTAGAGTCCCCTTTATTTTGTTTTCATTTTAATTTTTTTTTTTTTTTTCGGAAGTCACGGCTAATAATAAAAGAAAAATACACACAGATAGAGTCCCTGGCAAGGAAGAATAATGGCGCAATAAATAGTTGATCTTAAACCATCCAGCACCACAGAGACGAGATGCCTCCCATAGGAACGTTTGTCCATGTTTTGGTGGGGCCAAGTCTCATATTATACCCGCCGCAGTTGTGATCGGCGAAGACGTCACAGCGCCAGGGTGCAGCGATAAAGTATCCAGTGGCCTTGTCGTTGAGCCAAGTGGGAAAGTTGACACACTCGTGCTGGTTGGCAATGACGTGGTGTTGATCGCCTGCCCCATTGGCAAAATACACCGCCTCGGCAGCAGCAGCAGCAACGAGCAGAAGGATACAGGCCTTGAGAGAAGTCATGTTACGCTTGAAAGATATCGTTCGTATGGCGGTTCTTGCTGGGGATATAGTTTGAGATCTCAAAGAGGAAACTGGAACTAGAATTGTAAAGGTAAACAGTTACTAGGTAAGGAATCTAGTGTGATGAATGATGGGTCAGCAATGGATAATAATTACACCCCTTAAATGTAACGTGGATGATCAATAATAAAGCTTACGGGAAATAATGGTTTGTTCGGCGGATGACGTCTTCAGTGGGCACTCCTGTGGCGTTCTTGATACGGGTCTGTGGTGATCTGGCGAGGGTTCTGTGGGGCAGATCGTTCTGGTGGTGGCTCTTGTGAGGGTGCTTGAGGCGGGCCTTGAAGTAGTTGATGCGAGCGTTATAAGTGCTGTTGCGAGTCTAGATGTGTCGGTGCAGGACGCTGGGTAGGCGCGATGTCGAGAATCAGGGTAAGGCAGAGGTAGATGTTGCAAGGACGGAACAGGAGACAGAGATGGAACTCAAAGTACAGACGTAGTATTCGAGTTACTAGGTGAGGATCAGACTATCAGGGCAGATGTGGGCTATATATATATGTGCTTTTGTGTGGCAATGCGGTAGAAATTGAACCTTCCCATTGTTCTACGCCAACAATTCCATCGTGCCAAGAGTTAGCCGTTCACTTACAATGGCCCGCCGCAATACAAAGAAAAATGTGAATGGTTGAGAGAGCCCGCGGTTGTCTTGCACGTAGAGAGTACGATAGGTGGCTTGTATGGTTTCTATCATCCAGGATTTTGTTTTGAGTGACACCAATGTCATGTACACAAGAGTTGACTGATAACTCCTGATTGCCAAGAGAAGTGGAAATTAAGCTCAGGCGAGAAATAAAATTGGGCTGTTGGGTATGTGGTATGCAATTGAGTTGAATCGTTAAGAAGACGGTACACAATAAAGTTGGGCTGTTGCGATGACGGTGCGCAATAGAGTTGAGATGTCGGATAAGGATGCCGCTTGTGTCCCATTTGGTGCAGCATAAACTATCTGCTATGGTTAAGCCCATTGTTCTATAGATTTGTTCGTAAGAACAAAATCTCTCTCTCTCTTTATCTTCTTTTTTATTTTTCTGTGTCTCACACGCTTAACGGATGTAATATATTTTCTTGTTCTTTCCATGTGCCCGTGTCTCGCGTCTTTCGAAGACGAGAGTTCAGTAACAGAGAATAGAGACGGAACGATTTGAATATCGCCAAGGAGAAAAGTCCAGTGCTCTGTGGCCAACGGGTGGGTTCGCTTCTCTAGTATACTGTACTCACAACCTCCAAATTGGGAGTGATTAGGACACACTGAATTTTCCGCTTCAGTACTCTAAATATTTGTGTTAAGGGTAATTCTTTATTTCAAAATGAACAGTTGATAAGAGGATTGAGCGATCAAGAGAGCGACATCTGGCTCGGGTTGGAAGGAGCTACCGTAATTCACTGAGTTGAGGGCAGTGAAAATTAGGTGCATCTGACATAAAAACAACGATCCATACTAATCACAACACTCCTTTTTCCATATCCCTCGCTTCATTCATGCTCGTCACCACAACTGAGACGTACACATCTTCTCGCATAACCATGACATCATTGCCTATTCTTTATCATTCTCGAGTCTGTTCAAGAACCATCGAAATAATAAAACTGACATCTCCCTGGCCATTCATCCTCTGTTTTCAGTCGGCTTGTCGACTTTTAGTGTGCGTCTTAACTCTGTGCATGGTTTTTCGGTCTGCCGACGTTTGCATGAATTCCCTCTGTTGATTGTCGGCTTGTCAACTTTTGGCGTGCATGCCCCTTGTATTCTTTGTCTCAACTCGGTGCTCTCATGCATGTGGTTTGTCGGTCTGTCGACGTTTGCATGAATTCCCTCTGTTGATTGTCGGCTTGTCAACTTTTGGCGTGCATGCCCCTTGTATTCTTTGTCTCAACTCGGTGCTCTCATGCATGTGGTTTGTCGGTCTGTCGACGTTTGCATGAATTCCCTCTGTTGATTGTCGGCTTGTCAACTTTTGGCATGCATGCCCCTTGTATTCTTTGTCTCAACTGTCACTTTCCCCTCTGCTCTGCGTTGTCTGTCGAAATATCGGTCTGTCCATTTTTGGCATGCATACGGTTTGTGTTATTTGTCTGTACTCGCAGCTCTATTTCTCACAGGAAATAAAGAATTAACAGGAAATAACTATCAGGTGACTAGGGCGCCCCCACAGCGACGATGCTTTATACAGTATAATAGTTATAGAGACCGATATCTCTTTCTCACCATATTTCATTTTGACCCTTTTTGCCAATGGTTCTTTGTTCACTGGATGTGATCTTGTGCACGCGTGGAGTCTGTGAGTTGTCCAATACTCTCTGACTCTTAAGGGGTTTCGTAAACCGTCGCGATCATCCTAAGGGGTTCTGTTTAGACCCACTGAGCAAGTGGCTAAACTGACGTAGCGCAAGGTCAAGGCCGACAGGTGCACTCAGAGCACATAATTAATCGCACGAGCGGCACTACACGCGGTATACCCCCTCTGGTCGAGCCAAGAATCCCACGTCACAAGGAAGTTAGCCTTAGATCTGAGCTATAAATATATATATATATATTGCAACGACCAACCAACACTTTCTCTCTCACCTGACTCATTCACTTGTAATAACCACACATTTGTAGCAACCAACCATCTTCAGCGAACATTTTCGACGCACTATCACAAAATACGTAGGTAGCTTTTATTTCCTCGTGGAGATAGAGTTCTTCATGGCAGCTTTCCTCTCTGGCGTCCCAAGAGTAGGGAAGAAAACGTCTTGTCTTGGCACCTCTCTCCTTTGTCCAAGACGATCCCGCGCAACTTTGACCAAGGTCTGGACTTGGAATAGATTAAAGAAAAACTCATACTCCAAGTCCATATCCTTCAAATGCGCTGGAAGCCTAACCGTCGACAGGTGCAAGTGAACAACAGTGTTGTCCACCTTGGCCGCCAAAAAGAACGTGACATCACGACCCACTGTCTGAAAGGTCAACAGCGGAGGTCTTTCTACCACAACATTGTGCACTTGATCAAGAGAATCTTTGGAAAAGACTGTAAGTCTAAGAACATCGGTGTTGACGGCCGCTGTCTTGGGGGTCGGTCCCTTGAGTTCGCCATAGAAAATTTCTTCCTTTGCCTCCGTCTGCCCTATCACATCCGGCTGCCGTGATTATCCATCCTGCTGAAGCTGCGCCTTCATAGTTTTGCCCACTGACGTGCATGCATTAGCACTAATCCAATGGAAGTAGAATAACAAAAAAAATGTAAGTAAACGACCGTTATGTTGAGACGACACAAGTTGTCACCCAACCAATCAGAAACTTACCATGTGAACTTGATCTCGTGCTGGACGGCCATGACTTCCTTCAAGATGGGACCAACCACTCCCATCAGGCAATCCGATTCGGACACAAGTGTAGCCCAACTGTTGTTTTGACGGAATACATGCAGCGCAATAAAGAGAATCGGTGTGATCTTCTTGTCCTTGCACTCTGCATACGACGAAAATATCGCCTCCACAACTGGCTCTGTGTCAATCGCCTCCACTGGATCACGATTCTCTCTCTGCGCCGCGACCTTCTCCTTCACCAGGAGCCTTTTCCATTTCTACTTGCGTACAAACAAATAGAGTTGCATAAAGGTGAACATGTATCTTCGCGCGCTATTATACAAAAGTCATGGCGTCGTCCACTTCTCCCGATAACTTACCTGCACCCAGCTCGCCCGAAGAAGGACTGCATCCTGAGCCCGCTGAATATCCTCTTCCTTCATCTCCTGACTGTAAAACATCTCCAGAACATTGGCCGTTATCGTCTTGATCTCCTGCTCCGAGAATCCAACATGTCTTTTGTTGAAGTGGACTATGCCAGACAGCAGCCTATAATAACAATGCCAACAAGAAAAAAGGCAATGTGTTAATGCAAACAGCTGCAACATATTAGGTTTATCATTGCTCTCTAGTTAGTCATTCCTTGTCACTCTCTATCATCTCTGACTCACTATGACACTACACCTAGAAACCTAGTTGGCGACTTTGTATATATATTTAGTTGTACCATAGTAATAACATCAATCATCACTGCTTCAACTCTCGTCCCCGTTCTATACTTCTCTGTCCCAGTCTTCGCCTGTTGCATGGTAGCAAAGGTTCCCTCGTTCCACTGACCTCTTGATTTTTCCCTCCTCGTTTTCACTGCCCGCGTTTTACTTTAATTTTCCCTCGTCCCAGCTCTCTCTGCACACCAGCCCTGAATTTCATTCCCTGCCCCTATTTTCCTTCGTACCCTCTTACACTCTGGACATTTTTGACCTCTCCGCACTTCTCTCTGCACTACCAGTCATGGTTACCCCTGCCCGCCTTAACCCCCCTCCTGTCTTTACAGGCGCCCGCGACGGTTTCTCTGCCTTGGCCTGGCTCGTTGCGGTTAACCGCTACTTCAACCTTGCTAAGATAAGTGAGACTGAACGAACACCCCACGCTCTCTCGTACTTGGGCACGCCTGGCCCTGCCCGATGGTTTGATGGATGTGGGCTCCCTGATACTTGCAACTTCGAGACCGAGTTTACTCCTGCTTTTAAGCTAGAGTACATTCCCAACAACTTTGCGGGCTCCTGTCGACGACACCTCACCAATCTTCGCATGACCACCAACTTTTCGACCTACTTATCTACATTCAAGGAACTTTTGGGCGCCCTTCTTGGTTATGCCTCCACCGACGCTGCCAAGACCACGGTCAACGAGTTCGCCCAAACATCCTTTATCGACAACTGCCCCTTGGTTCTTCAACAGATGATCGAAGGACACATTATTCAAAACCCCAATATCACCCTCATTCAGATCTTTCAATACGCCCAAGAGATGGACCGCATTTACTCCTTCAAACCCGACACCGGCCCCAAGACCAACTCGCTCGCCATCGCCTCCGCCCCCATCATTTCTTCCTTCACCTCTTCCTCCGCTCTCTCTCAAGCCACCCCCATGGAAATCGACAACATCCAGATCGCCCTCAACAATATCACCCAACGATTTAATCGCCTAGAGAGAAACATGGGTCATAACAATAACTACAACCGCAACAACAATAACAACAACGGCCCCCGAAACAACAACAACGGTAATCCCCCTTCCCTGACCCCTCAGGAACGCGAATGGTGTAAAAACAACAATGCTTGCCGTCGCTGTCGCCAACCTGGACATTATGCAAAGGAGTGCCCCATCTACGGCGACAACAACAATACCAACCGTGGCAACAACAACAACCGCCAAGGACGATGGGTTTATCAAGTAGCCGTGGGTGATTCCCCCGAGTCGGGAAAAGCCTCCGACGATCAGGCTTAGTCCAGGACTTGATCGTCGACGTTCCCTCCCTTTCTCCTCTGGACAAAGGGAGTGTTTCCTTACCAGAGTTAAGTTACAGTTCCAAGAATAAAAATTCTGCTATCAAAAACACTCCCCCCTCTGTATCCATTATTCGCACTACCACATCCGCACCTCGTAGCCTACACAAACTCTCCTTCTCTCCTCCTCCACTCTCCCTTTTTCCCTCATCCATCCCTGCCTCGCCTCGTACTCCCTCCTCAATTGCCATCGACTCGACCACCACTGCCCCCAACACTCACTCCACCACGGTACCCTTTGACGATGAGTTACAACTCACCGACGACGTATCTGATACCTCGCCTGTTGGTCTTAGCCCATCAGAAGAAGTGGACCTGGACCCACTCTCCTCTCCTGCTGCTTTAGACCAACCCATGTCCAAGCGCAGGACCAAACGCTTGCGACACAAATCCGTCCGTCTGCACGCTTTCACGGCTGAGAAAGCCTCCCGTACACTCTTGTCGTTTATTGGTAATGTGGCTGGTGCCCCTGCGCGTATTTTAATCGATTGCGGTGCGGAAGGGAACGTCATCAGTTCTTCTTTTTGCAAACAACACTCCCTCACTCGCACTCCTGGCCCCTCCATCCCCATCATCCTTCCAAACGGTTCCTCTTCCATTTCATCATCCACCTCCACCTTTACCATCGACCGCGACCACTACTCCGACAAACTGGAAGCACTCATTTACCCCCTCTCCAACTACGACCTCATCCTTGGAAAACCCTGGCTAACGACCATCAACCCTTTCATCAACTGGCGAAACAACGACCTTCACTTCACCCACAATGGACACACTGTTCTCTGGCGCTGTCGTGGTGCCAACGCCAACTCCATCTCCGCTCGCACACAAGGGAAACTCCTCTCTCACCTTCACTTTCACTCCCTTGCTACCCAACCTGGAAACGCTGTCTACCTCGCCCTCGTCAACATCGCTAAAAAGACCAACGACAACAACAGTAATGACAACAAACCGACCTCCCCTCCACTCTCACCCGACATTCACAACATCGTCCACAACGAGTTCCCCGACGTTTTCCCTTCCTCCCTCCCCTCTGGCCTTCCCCCTGACAGAGGCGATGCAATGAAGATCGAAACTGATCCGAGCGCTGATCCCCCCTTTCGCCCTGTTATACGTCTCTCGATTGCTGAATTGGATGAACTAAGGAAGCAACTCGACGACCTACTTGGCAAAGGCTTTATCAAACCCTCTACCTCCCCTTATGGTGCCCCTGTATTGTTTGTGAAAAAGAAGGATGGTTCCTTGCGTATGTGTGTTGATTACAGAGGGTTAAACCGGATTACAAAAAAGAACAGACACCCCCTTCCCCGCATTGATGAACTTATCGACCGTTTCCGCGGGGCACGCTACTTTACCAAACTTGACCTCCTCTCCGGTTACCATCAGCAACGTATAGCAGAAGAGGACACACACAAGACAGCCTTCCGTTGCCGCTACGGCCATTTCGAATTTAATGTGGTCCCTTTCGGGTTAACGAATGCACCGGCGTCCTTCTCCAATATGATGCTACGAGTATTAGACCCTGTTCTCGACAAGTGGGTTGTTGTTTACCTCGACGACATTCTTATCTACTCGCGCACCGAGGCCGAACATCTACAACATCTCCGATCCGTCCTCACGCTCCTCCGCAAGTACGGTCTCTACGCCAAGTTGAGCAAGTGCTCCTTTATGCAGAAAGAGACCGAGTTCCTCGGCCACGTCATCTCCAAGGACGGTATCCATACGAGCGGCGGTCTCGTTCGTGCCATCCGTGAATGGCCCCGTCCCCAGAAGCAGAAAGATGTTCAGCAGTTTGTTGGTCTTGCACAGTTCTATCATCAGTACATCGCTAACTTTGCCTCGATCGCCCTACCGTTGACCGCTCTCTTAGGTGAAGGCGTTCCTTTCTCTTGGTCTCAGGAGCAGGAAGTAGCGTTTACGACTCTGAAGGAGGCCATCAGTAAAGCACCTGTTCTACGTATCTTCGACCCCGACCTTCTAACAACCGTCGAAACCGATGCCTCCGGCTTTGCTCTCGGTGCCGTTCTCTTTCAGACCGATGAGCATGGCGAGTCGCGCCCCGTCGCCTTCACCTCCCGCAAGCTGAACTCTGCCGAACGCAACTACCCAACACACGAACAGGAACTGTTGGCTGTTGTACATGCATTGAAGACATGGCGCTACTATCTGGACGGATCCCACTTCATCGTATACACCGACCATGCCACCCTCCAACACTTCCCCACTCAACCCAAACTCACCCGCCGTCAGGCCCGCTGGATGGAACTGTTGCAGGAATACAACTTCACCTTCAAGTACAAGAAAGGAGCCGACAACATTGTCCCAGATGCCCTGTCTCGCCGACCGGACCATAGAGAGATTAACACACTCTCAGTACAGCTCGACCCCAGGCTCCGGCAGCGCCTGATGGATGGTTACAAAGAGGATCACCGCCTCAAACCGATCTATGAAAGCTGCCTCCAGGGAAGTCCACCGTCTAATTACTCTCTTGTTGATGGTGTTCTTTGCATTCAACGTAATGATCTTTTACTTGTTTGTATCCCCTCGAACTCTGACCTTCGGCTTTCTCTTCTTCACGATGCACACGACTCCGCTATAGCTGGTCACTTCGGTTTCGAGAAGACGTACGGTCATCTCCACTCGCGGTTCTTCTGGCCATCTATGGCGAAGGACACCCGGCTGTATGTGCAGACCTGTGAGTCGTGCCAAAGGACTAAGCCCAGCAACCAACCACCTGCTGGCCTCCTCCAGCCCCTACCCATTCCCGATCGACCCTGGCAAACGGTGACAATGGACTTTGTCGGCCCCCTACCCAAGACCCCACGCGGCTTTGACTCCATTACGGTCTTTGTTGACAAACTCACAAAGCAAGTGCACTTTGCCCCCTGCCACACCACCGACTCCGCCTCGCAAGTTGCACGCATTTTTTTCGACCATGTTTTCCGCTTGCACGGCATGCCAACCACCATTGTCTCCGACCGCGATACCAAGTTCACGAGCCGCTTTTGGAAAGAATTGAGCCGTCTGATGGACGTCCACCTTGCCATGTCGACTGCCTTCCACCCTCAGACCGATGGCCAGACCGAGCGTGCCAACCGCACCCTTATCACCATGCTCCGTAACTTTGTCGACCAACGGCAGTCTAACTGGGACCTCTTACTTTCCGCCGCCGAATTTGCCACGAACAACGCCACCAATGCCTCCACTGGAGTCTCCCCGTTCTTCTTGAACTCCGGAGCCCATCCCAACATGCCCATGTCATTGTTGACCCCTACTCCCGGCCCCAACCCATCGGTTAACGAGTTCGTGCAATCTCGAAGCGAAGCCCTCACCCTCGCTAAGGAGTCCCTTGCTGCCGCCCAAGAACGTCAAGCAGCCAACGCCGACATCCATCGGCGAGAGCATGATTTCAAGGTTGGTGACCACGTTCTCCTTAACCTTGAGAATATCACCTTACCCTCGGACCGCACCCGCACGTCGCAGAAACTCTTGGCTCGCTTTGCCGGCCCCCACACCATTGTTGAACAGCTGTCCCCGGTCTCCTTCCGCCTTGATCTTCCACCGTCCATGAAGATTCACCCCGTCTTCCACGTCGACCGATTCCGACGCTACCAACCATCACCTGCGACGCTAGGACCAAGAACACCAGCACGGCCACCACCGGTTATCGTTGAAGACGAGGAAGAGTATGAGGTCGAGGCCATTGCAGATCATAGGAAGGTTAACAACAACATGGAGTACCTTCTACAATGGCAAGGATACCCGCGCGAGGACTGGACATGGGAACCAGAGAGTGAACTGGCACACTGTAAGGACATCCTCAACAAGTACAAGCGCGACCATGGCCTTAGGACTTAGCGGATTTTTTTTTAAGAGGGGAAGGTGCAACATATTAGGTTTATCATTGCTCTCTAGTTAGTCATTCCTTGTCACTCTCTATCATCTCTGACTCACTATGACACTACACCTAGAAACCTAGTTGGCGACTTTGTATATATATTTAGTTGTACCATAGTAATAACATCAATCATCACTGCTTCAACTCTCGTCCCCGTTCTATACTTCTCTGTCCCAGTCTTCGCCTGTTGCAACAGCCCTCCACTGCTTGAGTATCAAACAAGAGAACAAATTGCAACTTGACGATCTTACGCGATCTCGTCCACATGCGTATGATCCAGGAGGGCCTTGCGCTTTGCAGACTCGTAGAGTTCTGTCACCCGAGACCCCCACTCCTCTCGCAGCTGCAACTTGAACTGATACAAAGGACGATTCTTCGCCCATGTTGGCAAAGAACGGCCGTCTTGAAGGCTGCTGAATATAATGTCCTGCAACGATCCAACAGCGCTGAAAAACGCTCGTGCCTCCTCCTCCTCCTCCTCCACAGCCTTGTTAAAATCGAGCGGAGAAGGTGGTGAATATGACGAATCCTCGGGAGCTCCTGTCCCAGCACTGGAGATTCTACTTCAACTCTTCTCATGACGACTGGGGATCTGACGACATGATGACCCTTCGATCTGCCGTCCAAAAGTACCTCAACGATCATCGAGAGTCGTCTGTTGATCGAGAGGCTAACAACGGCTATGCAAGAAAGACGACGCTCTTGCTTTTTCTCTCAAGACTTCTCATTTTCAAGTACTGCATGAGCGTCCCCGGTAGCAGCAAGTCATTCACCAGCGCACGATGGGCTCTCCTGCAGGTGTGCCCACATGTTCTCTATAAGGACATGTTCAACGCACTGTTCCTCAAACTTCTCAACCTTCAGCACCATGGAGAACTCCCTCTTTCGCTGCTGATCCGCAATGTGTACGAGGATGCAAAGGATCGCCTTGTTGAGCGCGGGTGCCTGCCAAAGATCAAGGATGACACCAGGCTCCTTTTGGTCCACGATGAGGCGCAAGTCCTTGGCGATGAGTTCAACGGCTCTTTCCAGTCGACGACTTCAACAAATTCCCCACGCCCATTGCTCTTTCCGATTTTACACGCGTTTCGAGACATTGGCCAACATCAGCTTACATTGATTACCTGCGGCACCGGCTTGAGCATTAATACTCTTTTCTGGATCCAGAGTTCGGGCTCCGGTCTAAAGGACAGCTCAACCAACTTTGAGGTAAGCTATTCAACTTGGTTCATATTGGCTTGCACTTGTGCCTCCGCATTAGCTGAAGGAAATAGCAGAATTGACAGGAATGGTAGTCTAACATCCTTACTCTCTTTACCATCACCATCAAAAATGGACGTACGCGCATGGCACTTTGGGCGGCACAGTATTTGGAATTCCCAGGTTGGAAAAATCAAGAATCGATCAAGAAATACATTTCTCGGGTGCGGATGTGTCTGCAGGACGACCAGTCAAAGCTGGCTTTGGACGAGCACCTTCCGCAAGAGGCAGTCGATATGCTGTTCAACAAGTTTGCGGGTCGCTTTCGCCCAGCAATAGCTGCAGTATTTTGTCTATATATTCACGATTTGGTGGTATGTCATTCGAGATGATAGGCAAGAGAAAAAAGGCGATGACATGATGTCGCAAACAATTACGCTCACTACTTACAACGTCCCTGTCTTTATTGCCTTCCCATCTATAGGAAAGGGTCATCGAAAGCAACGACCCAGGCGCATGGAAGAAGACCATTGAAGCTGCGGAGGACAGGCTGGTATCTTGGGCGCATCGGAACATCAAAGGCAATTTGTGCTACGAGATATCTCGCCTCCACGACAAACACAACAAATACAAGGATCAGCTTGTGGAGGCTATCGACAGCATGCTGGGCCTCCTTATGTATCAGCGTTGCATGTTTGGGATTCACGACCTTGTCCTCAAGGAGGTAGACCCTCAGTTGGTGGAGCATGCGTTTGGTCGGATCAAGATTATTCGAGGTCGTGCTGTCACTGTCATGGACGAGCCCTTCGTTTCCAAAGCAGCGGAGAATTATTTCGCCGCTATCGATCCCTACTTCGCAAGGGAAGTGCGGAAACGTATGGTAAAGTCGACGGCTATTGAACAGGGATGCAAAATATTAGGTTTATCATTGCTCTCTAGTTAGTCATTCCTTGTCACTCTCTATCATCTCTGACTCACTATGACACTACGCCTAGAAACCTAGTTGGCGACTTTGTATATATATTTAGTTGTACCATAGTAATAACATCAATCATCACTGCTTCAACTCTCGTCCCCGTTCTATACTTCTCTGTCCCAGTCTTCGCCTGTTGCAAGGGATGTGTGCTTGAGCGGTTCATGATGAAGGTTTTCAGTGAGACATTCAACACACGACCTCTATCTGAGTGGCCGCATCAGCCCCCCATCTCTGATATGTGTCCAGCTCTCGTCGGCAAGGTGGAAATTGTTGGCTGGAGGGAACCTGGACTCGAGCAAGGCACGACTCACGCGATGATGTCGATGGAAGAGTTCATGGACACTCATGTCAACCATGGGTCAACCCGCAACAACATGCCTGTCGCGCCATTTTTCTTCCCCAAGCCCAAGCCGTCGGGACCAGACTTGGTTTTCTTCATTCGGATCGACGGTGCTCGGTTGGTTCCTGTCTTCGTTCAGATGAAGCTGCATCAAGGGTCGTCTAACTTCTCGGAGAGGGATTGGAATGACGCACTCAGCACAGTCTCGGCAGCCAAGATTGAGGGCCACGCAAAGAATTTTCGCAAGTACTGTCCCGACAACGTCTACATCAGTATGATCGTTGCATACCCTACCAAATGGACTGACAAGCTGCCAGCACATTCAGAACTCCCAAAGGACCCCAGTGGTGTTCAGCAGGTCGTGATCAACATCAGCGATGACAATTTCGGCGACATTTTCCCCCAGGAGCATGTAGAGTTTATTGATCGACTCAAGAATGCTCGAAAGCGCTCTACTGACGACGATGACAGCAACGATGAGGACTGCTCCAAAAAGAAGAGGAGCTAATCTTTCACTGCATCTTTCTCTGCCTACTTGACACTCAAATAAAAATGCTCTTTTACAGTATATTCTTAATGACGTGTTATCGAGTTCTCTTCAAGCAGCTTGTTTTGTTTCCATTTCTTGCTCATAAAGCTCTTTCCTTTTTCCATTATTTCCCTTTTGCCACCATTCCTCGCGTTCACACACCTTTTCTTACTTCAACTCCTCCGCCCATTATCCTCTTTGCCATTACTCTCGCATTTTCTCTACCTCTCAATTCACCGACCACATCCGCCCTCTCTATTGTTCTTTACATCACTCCTCTCGACTTTCTTTAACTTTCACCACCTCCATTGCCATGAATTCTCTCGAGAGAGACATTCTCAACAACAACAACCAACAACCAACAACAACAAACAACAACAACAAACAACAACAAACAACAACAACAACAAACAACAACAACAACAACAACAACAACAACAACAACAACAACAACAACAACAACAACAACAACAGCAACAGCAACAGCAACAGCAACAGCAACAGCAATAGCAGCAACAACAACAACTACTACTACTATTAAAACAAACACAAAATAAGGACACCAAAAACACAAAAAGCAAAAGAAAAAGAAAAAAAGAAAAAAGAAAAAGGAAAAAAAAGAAAAAGGTAGGGAAAAAGAAAAGATTAAAAGAAAAAAAAGAAAAAAGAAGAAAGGAAAGAAAAAGAAAAGAAAAAGAAAGCAGAAAGCAGATTCAGGACTGAATTAAGGTTTGTGGCTGACAGTGGTTCTCATTGTGGCTAGCATGTGAAAGAATGTTCTAGCTGTCTATATTTACATCGATCGAGATGTGCTGCGGATATTATCCCTTTTGTCAATAGACTTGGGCAAGCACCAATTGAATTGGACAAATTGAAAATTGTTTTCGGCACCTCTACAATTGAAAGTGGCGCCTGTACAATTGAAAGTGGCACCAGTATAATGAAACACTTTTCTTTCGTCGCATTTTTTTTTTTTTGCTCCTTTGTTGCTTCCTTGTTCCCTTCACTCATCTTCGAGATGCCCAAGAAACACAACAGAATTGACAATACTCAGCGCCAGAAAATTATCCACGCTATCTTTGACGAAGGACAAACCATAACAGAAGCAGCACGCCGTTTCGGCTATCCCCGCTCAACCGTCTACGCTATTGCCAAAGCATTTGACAATGAGGGGAGAATGGAGCAGAAACATCGAGGTGGCAATCGACCCAAGCGACTGTCCCAAGGCCACATTGAATGGCTCTCTGACCGGCTTTTGGCTCGCCCGGATACAACGATCACCAACCTCTGCCAGGAGTTGAACGATCACTTCAACATCGATCCTCCGGTTTCTACAGCGTCAGTGTCCCGAGCCATCCACGACCAAGCAGGCTTTACCCTCAAGCTACTACGACAAGAGCCGGCCGATTACAACAGCCCTGAGCGCATTCGAATGCGTCAAGTCTGGACCCAAGCGTTCCTCGAGTCGACTGCGAGTATAGCAGACGCTGTGTTTGTGGACGAGGCAGGTTTTAACCTGCATATGATCCGTCGATTTGGGAGGGCGCCCCGGGGACGAAGGCCGGTCAGAATTCGGCCAACGGCGAAAGGAAAGAACCTTTCGGTGGTTGTAGCGGCGAGCAGAGAGGGTATCATTGCCTCAGAAGTGAAGTTAGGGGCTTACGACACTCCATCGTTCGAAAACTTCCTTCTTGAGAAAGTGGTCCCAAAGCTCACTGCACCTCGCGTCTTCATCATGGATAATGCGCGTTGTCATACGTCGCTGTCCATCAAAGACAACCTTGAACGTCAAGGACACACTCTACAACGACTCCCACCTTATAGCCCCCACCTGAATGCTGCCGAGTCAGTCTTCAGTTCTATCAAGAGGCATGTCCGGCTCCAAGACTTTAGTGACAGAGAGTCATTGACTGGCCATATCAACAATGGTGTCCAGGCTATCACCCCAGAGATGATGCAGGGTTGGATAAGGGAGGTCAGCAGAAACTTTGCCAAAGCAAACAGAGGTGAGCCTCTCGGCCAGTATTACAATAACCATGACTTGGCCGATGAGAAGGAGGTGGAGGATGAGGTGTAGGGATAAGTGGAGGTTTGGAGGAGCAATAAAGAACGTCATTGATGATCATCATTCACGTCAAAGTTACGCGTGTTGATATCTTTTGCCACTTTCAATTGTACAGGAGCCACTTTCAATTGTAGAGGTGCCGAAAACAATTTTCAATTTGTCCAATTCAATTGGTGCTTGCCCAAAGTCTATTGACAAAAGGGATATTATTATTATTAATTATTTTTTTTTGGGGGGGGGAGTGGATTGAGGTGTGACTGGGAAATTGAGGAAGTGGTGCCAATAAATATAACATAAGGAGATATTATTAACTGGCTTGTGGCAGCCAAGCGTTCATAGCGACGTTGCTTTTTGATCCTTCTGTGCTATAATCACGTGTATCACCAGGACGAAGAGTACATAAGGACTCTTCGTCTCTTTGTTTCGTTATTCATTTTCCATACCTACCTAAGTATCACAATCCCGGTTAGTATTTTCCATTTTTCTTAACGAATTCACAATAGGGATCTAATTCACCCATATACCTTCACACGCATTCACTCAAAAAAAAAAAAAAAAAAAGGAACGAGTGAATGCACACCCATTCGCTGAATGGCAGGTCAGCGCTGCAGCAATGCAACTGGCAGAGCACCGTCTCACCACTGGCACCGACCAGAACGTACCAAAGGGCAACTTACCAAGGGTACGTTACCACCCATTCACTGAATGGAAGGTCAGTTATGCAACTAACGGAGCAGCGACTCCGCGCTAACAACACCTAGACTACACTGTATCAATTGGCAAGGTGCCCTAATAGGTTCCACGGGGTAGAAGCCATGTATTAAATTGTACTGAATCGTTACACGGCGTAGAAGCCATATACTGACTTGTACTGCATTGTACTATGCGATCAAATTACAGTACCGCCCATGTACTGCGATGTCAAATTACAGTACTATGTACTGCAATTTGATTGATCCAACATAAACGTCTCCTGTTGGGCTGTATCACGGAAGGCATTACCGAAAAAAAAGAAAAAAAAAAACGTCTCTTATTGGGCTGTATCACGGAAGGCATTACAGAAAAAAAAAGAAAAAAAAAAAAAAAAACGCACTGCGAACAAAGGGGCACAAAGCTCTTTGAATGAGAAGTTGGTTGGAGACATGCCAAGAGCCAATATGAACACATATGCACAAAGAATAGCATGCACGTCATTGCACTTCCATACTCGACAGCCAAGCATGAACCCCGGCCATAACCTTTCCCAATCAATGGATCGACACAAGAGAATGTGGCGCTTCTGCTTCTAATAGAGAGACAAGTAGGATGTAGGCTTTTCTGGGGCAGTGTTGCCAAGAGATGATGTTCTTTTGGTGCCCATATTAGGAACGAAAACACGAAACAAAAAATAAGCACGTCGCTGGCCGTTGCACTTTAAAAGGCGCCTGTGAAAATGAAAATTAAAAGGATATCGTCTTTTTCCATCATGCCAGCTCTACTATCCAAGTCTATAATTTTCCTCCTTCTTTCTTCTCTCGTTCGTTCAACTCTTCACAACAACGACCCACTTGCCCTCTTGAAACGCAGAGCAGCCATCGTGTCAAACAACTCCAACAGCAACTACAAAGAGTTCCTGGACACTCTTCCCATCGCCCTCGAGAAGGCACGCGCTGACGGAGGCATTCCGGGCATGAGCGTCGCCATCCTCTACAAGGGCGAGCTTGTCTTTGCTCAGGGGTTCGGAAAACGCAATCGCAAGGACCCTTTCACTAAAGGGGTAAATAAACAACGAGGTCGAAGAAGGACCACCGTATGCGCTTTCTTCTATGCCTGAACACTCCTCTCTTCTATGTCACTAAACGTCTACTAATACTACTGTGTGTTCATAGACCGTGTCCCATATCGCCTCAGTAACAAAGGCATTCACTGCCACTGCCATCGGTGAATTAGTCGCCGAGGGAAAGATGGACTGGGACAAGACTGCTGTCAATAACTACCTCACCGAGTTTGAGCTCAAGGATCCCGTCTTGACCTCCCAGTTGACCTTGACGGACATGCTCGCCCATCGCACTGTGAGTGAACATGCAGCAAAGAGAAAAAAAATTAAGTACCTCGTCTTAATTACATGCAGCAAAACTAACCTCTTTTTTTCGCACGCCAACTCTAATAACAAAAAAAACAGCCTTTGCCACCAATTGACCTCGCATGGTTCAGGAACGAAGAGTCGACCAGAGAGCTCATTAAGCAGCTGAAGCACGTCGACATGCCCTCAAAGATGTCCCCCATCGTCAATTACAACAACATTATCTACGCCGTCGCAGGAGAGGCTGCTGCCAATGTTGCAGGAACAACTTATGCTGAGCTGATCAAGAGCAAGCTGCTCCAACCTCTGGGACTCAAGGATTCAGGACTCTCATTACCAGAAATGGAAAAACGCCCCAACTTTGCAATGCCCTACGACGCTGCCACTTTTGAGGACGCCAAGAAGGGTATCTATGAGGAGGGTTACATGGATGAAATCCATATGGCTGATGCACCTGCTGGCGATATCTACATGAGCGTCTTGGATTTGGCAACGTGGGGCAGAGTCATCTTGAAGGAGGGAGAGCTTAATGGAAAGCAGGTTTTGAACAAGGAAAGCGTCCAAGAGACATTGAAGCCCCACAACATTATGGAGTCCAAGGCTCGCAAGCCTGACTTTTCACCCATCACAGGATACAGCTTGGGCTGGATGTTGGATTCGTACAAGGGCCATACCATCATCTATCATGGTAAGCACCTACTCTCGCTGTTACTCCATTTTTACACTTCTGCACGGACCAAAAAAAAATAACACATACTCTATATCCGTGTCTCTTCATTTAGGTGGTGGCAACCCAGGATACAGGTCTAACTTGGCCTTTTTCCCTGACGATGACCTCGTCGTTGCTCACTT